GTTCCTAATATTGGCGAGACGGCAACTGGAGTGTTGTGATGTTGGCACGGTGTGCTTTTTCAAAAGAGTTGCAGCTTGCAGTGTCTCTCCTGCTTGAGCAGGGGGCTGGACTAGAAGACCTCCAAGGTCCCTTTCAGCTTCTATTCTATTCTATTCTATTCTATTCTATTCTATTCTATTCTATTCTATTCTATTCTATTCTGCATTCCATATTTTCTTTATTCTATTCTATTCTATTCTATTCTATTCTATTCTATTCTATTCTATTCTATTCTATTCTATTCTAATATTATATATTCTATTCTATTCTATTCTAATATTATATATTCTATTCTATTCTATTCTATTCTAATATTATATATTCTATTCTATTGTATTCTAATATTATATATTCTATTCTATTCTATTCTATTCTATTCTACATTCTATTCTAATATTCTATATTCTATTCTATTCTAATATTCTATATTCTATTCTATTCTATTCTATTCTATTCTATTCTATTCTATTCTATTCTATTCTATTCTATTCTGCATTCCATATTTTCTTTATTCTATTCTATTCTATTCTATTCTATTCTATTCTATTCTATTCTATTCTATTCTATTCTAATATTATATATTCTATTCTATTCTATTCTAATATTATATATTCTATTCTATTCTATTATACATTCTATTCTAATATTATATATTCTATTCTATTCTATTCTATTCTATTCTATTCTAATATTATATATTCTATTCTATTGTATTCTAATATTATATATTCTATTCTATTCTATTCTATTCTATTCTACATTCTATTCTAATATTCTATATTCTATTCTATTCTAATATTCTATATTCTATTCTATTCTATTCTATTCTATTCTATTCTATTCTATTCTGCATTCCATATTTTCTTTATTCTATTCTATTCTATTCTATTCTATTCTATTCTATTCTATTCTATTCTGCATTCCATATTTTCTTTATTCTATTCTATTCTATTCTATTCTATTCTATTCTATTCTATTCTACATTCTATTCTAATATTCTATATTCTATTCTATTCTAATATTCTATATTCTATTCTATTCTATTCTATTCTATTCTACATTCTATTCTAATATTCTATATTCTATTCTATTCTAATATTCTATATTCTATTCTATTCTATTCTATTCTATTCTATTCTATTCTATTCTATTCTATTCTACTCTACTCTACTCTACTCTACTCTACTCTACTCTATTCTATTTTCGGTATACCTCAATGTATTCAAACTTTAATTTCACCTTTCTTTTTATCTGTTCCTCACCTTCAAAGTTTGAATTGCATCAACTCCTTTTTTTGTGTTTTTTAATATAAAAGAGACTAAAAAGCTGTGGGTTTTTTGGTTCTCAAAACTGTGCCAGATGTTCAGTTTTACAATGAAATCTAATGTTAAGAGACCACTCCATTTTTATCTGACCAGCAGAGGGAGAAAGACAACTACTTTACAAGCATTACTTTAAAGGTTTGCTATAAATCAAATCCAGTGCTTTCAATTAACTTCCAAGACTCTCTGCCTATATTTTCAGCTGATTTTTGTAATGAGAATGTCTGCAGAAATATCTGGAATGCTCAGTGCTATCCTTATTGGTCTTTTCTCAGTGCTATCCTTATTGGTCTTTTTCTCTGAACAAGTTACGCCGGGGGTCGGCAACCCAAAACACTCAAAGAGCCACTTGGACCCGTTTCCCATCAAAAACAAAACACTGGGAGCCGCAAAACCCTTTTGATATCTAAAAGGATATATGCAGTGTTATTTTTATTTTAGATGTCCAAAGGGTCTCTCTCTGTGTCTCTCTCTCCCTTCCTCCCACTTTCTCTCTCCCTCCCTCTCTCTCCCTCTCTCTTTCTCCCCCCCTCTCCAATCTTCTGCTCACCTGGCAAGCTGGCTTCTAGCTGTTCTCCAACAAGCTCAGGGGTTACATTCAGCTAGACCAGGGGTAGGCAACCTCGGCTCTTTTATGACTCGTGGACTTCAACTCCCAGAATTCCTGAGTCAGCATAGCTGGGCTAGCTAGCTCTCTCCTGCCCTTCCTGCTTCCTGCAGAGATGCAGCAAAGGGAGGAGCCCCACCCAGTAAGCTTTTCAGCTTGTCGGAGAACACCGTGGGTCCACTCTCTTTTACACACACACACACACAAACACACAAACACACACAGAGACAGAGAGAGAAGCAGGAAAGTGCAAGTGCCTCTCTCTGTCTCTGTCTCTCTCTGCAAATGGCAGAGGAGGCTGGGAGCCACAGGGGAAGGCTCAAAGAGCCGCATGCGGCTCCGGAGCCGCAGGTTGCCGACCTGTGAGTTAGGCCTTATAGTAGTAGTAGTAGTAGTAGTAGTAGTAGTAGTAGTAGTAGTAATAATAATAATAATAATAATAATAATAATAATAATAATAATAATAATAATAGAGTTGGAAGGGACCTTGGAGGTTATCAAGTCCAACCCCCTGCCCAGGCAGGAAACCCTATACCATTTCAGGCAAATGGCCGTCCAGTCTCTTCCTAAAAACTTTCAGTGTTGGAGCATTCACAGCTTCTGGAGGCAGGTTGTTCCACTGGTTAATTGTTCTAATTGTCAGGAAGTTTCTTCTTAGTTCCAGGTTGCTTCTCTCCTTGGTTAGTTTCCATCCGTTGCTTCTTGTCCTGCCTTCAGGCACTTTGGAAAATAGCTTGACTGCCTCTTCTTTGTGGCAGCCCCTGAGATACTGGAAGACTGCTATCCTGTCCCCCCTCGTCTTTCTCTTCATTAAACTAGACATACCCAATTCCAGCAACCATTTTATATGTTTTAGCCTCCAGTCCCCTAATCATCTTTGTTGCTCTTCTCTGTACTCTTTCTAGAGTCTCAGCATCTTTTTTACATCGTGGTGACCAAAACTGGATGCAATATTCCAAGTGTGGCCTTACCAAGGCATTGTAGAGTGGTATTAATACTTCACGTGATCTTATCTATTTAGTCATGTCTGGCCCTTGGCGGGTCTATGGACCAGGCCTCTCCACATCTTCTTCTCCTTTTTTTAAAATAATAATAATAATAATTTTATTGATTTATCAAAATATAAAATACAAACAGAATTTTTTTTAAAAAGTGATAGAGAATCAGAAAAGAGGGAAGGCGGAAGAAAAAGAAGATCGTGCAGGAAAAGAAAAGAAGAAATGAACAAGGCGCCAACCTCCGACTCTCTTGGACCCAGTAGAAGATAATAACATGAGTCACAACTTTTTGCTTTTGCACATTACAATGTGCACAAACCATTTCTATAACAGTAGGCCTGTCTGATTCACAAAAAACAAAATCAAGTTGTCGTTTTCTTTCTCATTGTGAGCACAGCATCTGGAAAGCAACTTCGAGAGAGAAGCTAACTTAAATGTCTTTTCATCTTGGGATAAAAGGATCAGTTTAACCATCTCTACTTCCACATTGCTCCCCGTCTTCTGATCTTGCACTACAGGTAGTCCTCGGCTTACAACACTTCCCTTAGTGAACGCTCAGAGTTACACTGAAAAAAAAGCGACTTATGACCGTTTCTTCACATTGATGAACTTGGTCACATCCCTCACGATCAAGAGATCAAAATCCAGGGGATTGAAAACTGATTCATGTTTATGACGGTTGCTGTTGTACCAAGGTCACGTGATCCCCTTTTGCAACCTTCTGGCGAGCATAATCAATCAGGGAAGTCAGATTAATAACCAGGTGATTCACTTAACAACAATTAACCAGTGGAACTACTTGCCTCCAGAAGTTGTGGATGCTCCAACAGTGAAGGTTTTTAAAAAGAGATTTGACAGCCATTTGTCTGAAATGGTATTATTCTATTCTTCTATTCTTCTATTCTTCTATTCTATTCTAATAGAATGGAATGGAATGGAATGGAATGGAATGGAATAGAATAGAATAGAATAGAATAGAATTAGATAATGGAATGGAATGGAATGGAATGGAATAGAATAGAATAGAATAGAATAGAATAGAATAGAATAGAATAGAATAGAATTAGATAATGGAATAGAATAGAATAGAATAGAAAATATGGAATAGAATAGAGTAGAATAGAATTAGATAATGGAATGGAATGGAATGGAATAGAATAGAATAGAATAGAATTAGATAATGGAATGGAATGGAATGGAATGGAATAGAATAGAATAGAATAGAATAGAATAGAATAGAATAGAATAGAATAGAATAGAATAGAATTAGATAATGGAATAGAATAGAATAGAATAGAAAATATGGAATAGAATAGAGTAGAATAGAATTAGATAATGGAATGGAATGGAATGGAATAGAATAGAATAGAATAGAATTAGATAATGGAATAGAATAGAATAGAAAATATGGAATAGAATAGAATAGAATAGAATTAGATAATGGAATGGAATGGAATAGAATAAGATAATGGAATGGAATGGAATAGAATAGAATAGAATAGAATAGAATAGAATAGAATAGAATTAGATAATGGAATAGAATGGAATAGAATAGAAAATATGGAATAGAATAGAATAGAATAGAATAGAATAGAATAGAATAGAATTAGATAATAGAATAGAATAGAATAGAATAGAATAGAATAGAATAGAATAGAATAGAATAGAATAGAATACTTTATTTGGCCACGTGTGATAAGGCACACAAGGAGTTCGTCTCTGTTGCAGAAACTCTCAGTATACATGCAAAGCAACAGAGTAATAAATCATCATCATAATACCAGTAAGAGGGTATTGTACTTTTTTTGCTGGCTTACACACTGGAGCATCAGTGCAGCCATCTAACTGAGCCCTAAGAATGTTGCAACTCACAAGAAAGGGTGGTTATTTTCCTATGAGATTGCTCGATCTAGAGCTTACATTAAGTTCCAATGCAAATGCACTTTTGTGACACTTCCAGCTTGCTTGATCGTTCCTCGGACATTTACGCCTCTGTTTTAATCAATTATATGGTGTGTTTTTTCCCCTTGCAGTAAACAAATACGTGGTCCGAGTCTTTACAGGTGATGTCAATGGCAGTGGAACAGATGCTGATGTTTTCGTTAACATTTTCGGGCAGAACGGAGACACAGGTACCCTTCCCTAACGTACATTTACACAGACTAATGTATGCTGGTCTCCTAATAAGGGAGATGGGCGGTTATTAAATACGATCAATAAAGTAGATATTTCCCTTCAGAGTTTGTAGCAAACCACAGTTCCCAGAACGAAGACCTATGACGTCATTCTGACAAAGTTGTGTTGTTTCTTGAGCTCTTTTAAAGATCCTCCATTCCTGGACCCGGATGTTGATTTTTAAGAACAAAAACCAAACCTGTGGTTTAACTGTGGAATTTAATTGTGTTTAACTGTTTAACTGTGGAATTAGTTATCTAGAGCAGTGTTTCTCAACCTTGACAATTTTAAGGCATGTGAACTTCAACTCCCAGAATTCCACAGCCAGCATTGCTGGCTGTGGAATTCTGGGAGTTGAAGTCCACATGCCTTAAAATTGTCAAGGTTGAGAAACACTGCTCTAGATAACTAATTCAAGTGTCAAGTGCCAGAGAAATCAGAAGATCCAGACAATTCAAGTGAGTAGGAAGATTCATCGCAAGCTTAAGCTCTCTACGAAAGCCTGAACAACTGACCATTAAGGGAAATGATAAGATAAGAGAGGTATTCAAGGTGGGCTGGACTTAGATCTCTTGCCGGCACGCAGGGATTCGAGACTTATAACGCGTTTGACTCCCTCCCTCCTTCGGGCTCAGCCTGATCACCTTCTACGTTTGAACAGAGATTAGACAATTGTTTGGGGATGCTTTAATTTAGATTCGTGCATGGAACAGAAGTCTCTGATACTACGATTGGAATGGACATGCTTTAAACTGTTTGGAGAAAGAAAAGAGCAAACACAAGGAAATTTGTAGCACCATTTCCGCAATTTCCAATCCCTTTGCTGTTTTCCTGTTGTGCTGCGGGTATTCACATCTGAAGCAAAATTTTCAGCAAGTAGATTGAGAAAATGGAACCAAATCTGAAATGCAGGGCTGACTCTTTGGACTGTTTCAAGTTGTGCCCTTTCCCAATTAGAATTCACTCATTATTTTGTGCCGTTGCCTTGTTTGAGACAGTAAGGTGAAGCAGTTAAGGTGCTAGCCTAGAAACCAGTGCCATCTTTGTCTCTCCCTCTCTCTCCTTCTCCCTCTCTCTCCCCCTCTCTCTCCCACTCCCTCTCCCTCTCTTTCTCCCTTCCTCCCTCTCCCTTTCTCTCTCCCTCTCTCTCCCTCCCTCTCCCTTTCTCTCTCCCCCTCTCTCTCCCTTTCCCTCTCTCTTTCCCTCCCTCTCCCTCCCTCTCCCTTTCTCTCTCTCTCTCTCCCTCCCTCCCTCTCCCTCTCTTTCTCCC